AAGGGTGATTTTAAAAAAGTGGCAGTTTCTGGCACCTCTCGTAACTCAGCTGTCTTATCGTCCCCTTAATACAACCATTAGGTACAGTTTGACAATTATAGGAAGAGACTTGGGGATAGTACCGGTCGCGCACACGATAGAGAAAGAACGCATTCGGCGGAAGAGAGATGCAGTTACGCTACGAAAAATCTGATTGAAGCAAATTTGTGGGATGTCCACTGCGCATCGAGGGGCGTCTCTTATTTTATATTTCTCACGTCTCTAGCTATACTTGTTAAGTTGTAACTAGAGTTTTTGTGATTTTGCGTTAACTAGTTTGGCCAGTATAATTTTTCATGCTCTTTTTGATGCTACAACTAGCTTAGTTCTATTTCTGTTTCATGGTACAGAAATCCAGTGACAATACAGCAAATTTCCTTTTTGTTAAATTTAATGCTGCTAATGAAAAATCACATATTTCCAGTTATTTTATTTTGCAAAATAAAAAGGAAAACACAGCTACAAAATTGCACAAGAACAAATGTAAAGTAATAAGTTATTTTCGCGATAGCGTGTGCTAGTTAAGTAGTTAAGAAGACATGTGATAGATAAGAACTTAGTTCGAGATTGCCCGATTCTGCTTGACTCGCGATAGCATGTGATTGATATGGAAATGCGGCACACGGGTCCGGTCCCTCGGAGGGCCCGGAACTTCGCACACACGGCACCTCGGTAGTTACGCCACTGCTTAAAGCTTGAGAGCACAATACCTTCATTATAAATGTAAAAGTAGTGTGTACATACAGTGTGGCAGGCCAAAAGATGGGACCAATTTCATTTTAATATAGTCGAATGAAATTCAGACAGCTTTAATTGTTGTGTACAGTGTGACAAAAGATGGGACACATTTCAATTTAGAAGTATATATTATGTTCCAATGAAATTTAGACAGCTTTAACACGTAGTTGAACACATCCGGTAGGTTTGCCGAGAACAATTTTCTGGATTCTCGACTTTTAACACACTGTATCCAAGTGGTAAAGAATGCATCTATTAATATCGTCGGAATCGTCTGGTCGCAATGTGTAAATCGCTTTTTTTCAACCAGACTCGACCATAAATTCGGACCTAGTGATTAATCCAAACAGAACTGTGCATACTTTTTGATCACTTGTCCACGAATTCCCTGTTTAGGGGGGAAAACCAGTGTCGACTCGTCAAACAAATTAACACTCCATTCAGTATTGTGAATTTATGTTATTCCCAGTTAGTAGTTAGTATTCAGAAGAATATTATTATTAGGCACTTTAGACACATTAACCTGCACAACTTTACCCTTTTTAACCATCCTCGTATCTCCTATATCTCCTAAGATGTTATTAAATCATGTTTTGACAGTTTCAGAAATATTAAAAATACAAGAAATGTCCAGAAATCAAAACTATACTAAGTATTTACTATAGTTGGTCTGTACTTACTTTATAATTTCATTAAATAATAATAAAAATTAATAAATATATAATCTGTTATATATTTATTATTAAGATTATTATACGATATATAAATATCGTAATCTTAAACCATACAGAGTATTCAAAATTCTGTGCCAAACTTTCTAAAATATAAAATAGTTTTCTTCGTTTTTTAGTACCTTATACAGGATTATAATGGTGGGGGTCGAATTTAAATTACCCTGTATAGACATTAAGAAAATAATTCTACTTTTTATATACAGGGTGGTCCGAACTGTATTCCGGAAACTTCGGCAGCATATTCTGCAGATAAAAATAAGTAAAAAAGTTCGTATAAATGTATCCTAAAATGCTTAGTTTCGGAGATACAGGGTGTAGAAGTTTCATTTTTATTTCGATTTTTTCCAAATAATTTCTGAATTATCGCCAATTTTTGGATGAAAATTGGTGTTTGGGAGTTTTTTGGCATGAGAAATTTGATTTTGATGTCAATATGACTCCTACTTGTAGAGGGCGCCATCTACATATTTTTTAACTGGTTTCAAGAGTAATAGCTTTTCGTTCGTACCTGTATAACACGACTGAGTAAAAAAAATATACATTTAAGACGTTTTTTACGTAAAAAAGGTCTCTTGGTAAAAATCGCTGCGAGTCATGGTTCTCGAGATATTTGGAATCGAAATTATCAATACCTGTCATCATTGTCAAAAATTAAGCATGTTGACTAAATTTAACATTATCATCATTTTTTCAAAAAAAAATATATGATTAATTTAAAAAACAAAAAATTCCTAAATTTATCATTTCAGTCAAATAACTATTTACTCAGTATATTTATTTTTTGTCAATAATGACATGTATTGACTATTTCCATTCTAAATATCTTCAGAACGGTTGCTCGTAGCGATTTTTACCAAGAGACATTTTTTACGTAGAAAATCACGGAAATGTAAATTTTTTCTCTCGGTAGTTTTATACAGGTACGGACGAAAAGTTATTACTCTTCAAAACAGTTAAAACACATGTATGTGGCGCTCCATACAAATAGGAGTCATATTGACATCAAAATCAAGTTTTTCATATCAAAAAACTCACCAATTTTCATCCAAATATTGACGTTACTTCAGAAATTAATTGGAAAAAGTCGAAGTAAAAATGAAACTTCTACACCCTGTATCTCCGAAACTAAGCGGAACTTGTAGGACATATATTTATACGAACTTTTTTACTTATTTATATCTGCAGAATATGCTGCCGAAGTTTCCGGAATACCACTCTGTAAATTCAGTTTTAATACGTCTCTGGAACGATTTTTGCAAATGTCAAAATTATCATCCGGTTTGTCCACAGCGCAATTATCCAGATTGACATTTTAGGGGATCCAACACCCCCCACACCTGTCCACTGTAGTCGCCCTCCGCGAAATTATTTAACGCCGCCTGCCACCACCTATATATCCGGTCGATACGGTCCTGTAAATAATGCATTTTATGTGTTTCCATCCAGACTCTGTCTCAGTGCAGGAATGCAGTCACGTTTCTGGAACGTAATTTCGGCGGTGGAAAGGTTAACGTAGCTTCGGTCGGCTGGATGGTGGGCACGATTTTCTATTTTCTGTGGGTCCAGAATTCGAAAGAGGCCGATAGAAAACTAAATATTGATAGTGTACGCTCGTGCTGAATCTTTCTCAATACACTAGAGTTGATTATAGATGTATCTGTATTAGGGATGCACAATATAATGCGATTTTCCAGACTATCGATAGTTTCATATTCGATTGACTTGATTCTCCATATTTTTAAAGGAATTATATCATGGAATATAGTAGGGGAACGAGAGAATTTACTCAAGCGCAACAAAATAACATTATGGAGAAACCTTGCTCCCTGTTAAGTAACCCCACCATGTGGGGGTGGAATCATAATGAACACGAGTCCACATTTGCTAGACCAGAAAACGGACTATATGCTCACCAACATGATTTTGGAGAAAAGATAAGGATTCGCATCCCGACAAGAGATGAATGGGAAAGCAACCGAGTAATGAACAGTCAAGAGATAGCAGTCTACACAGATGCTTCCGCAACTAGACATCCGACGATCTTTAAGGCTATCGGATGGCTGTAATGTTCTACAAGCAGAGGTTTACGCCATAAAGGAAGCGACTAGTTGTATACGAGAGAAAATTGCTGATAGACCAGTAGGGGATATCGTGATATACTCTGACAGCTTGGGCGCTTTAAGAAGCATTACCCTTGCAATCAGTAAGATCGAAAACTGTGATGGAATGCCGAGAAGCACTGTTCTGGCTGCGTCAAGGTAGCCCCACCTTGACGCACCCTCTGTCCTGGGTGCCAGGCCACATCAATGTGGTGGGCAATCAAGAAGCAGACAGACTCGCCAAAGAGGCCAGTGGCAGAGGCCGTGGCCGTTCAATAGTTTTTATTTGAATATATTAATTTTAAAAATATGATCATGTGCTGGGCTCGAATTCTGGAACTTTGACATAAAAACGTTACGCTTTCAAAGCGGTAAGCGAAAGTATTCAACTAGCGGAACTCCAAGTAGTCGATTTTGGTATTCTCATTACCGTGCGAATCGTTTTCTGAATACGCGTTGAGCACATATTGACAGCATCGCAATTTTTCAGGTATCTTATAGTCAAATGTGGATAAAACAATGAAAAATGTCAATGTTACGTGAATTTCATAACCTGTTGTTGACTTACGTCAACCTATTTTTCTATGGATATGTCATTATTCAATTATTCTTGTTATACGAGGGAAATGTTGAAGACGCTTCTCAGCATTTTCCATATTTTAAACAATATTTATAGCTGCCAAGTCGTAAATTAGCAATTACTTATTGAGGAATTTGTAGAACAAGTAGTTTTCACTAAAGAACAAAAGAACACACAAAATCACAATTTTTTCTATTTTTACTGACAGTTCGACAAGCAAAACGATCCTTTAAGGTAACCGTTTTCGAATCACTTAGCGCAATGAAGGCGCAATGGATAAAGACGCTAAGCGCGTCAGAGAATACCCAAATCGGTAGTTAAGTGCGCGCTAAGCTAAAATTAATGTCATATACGCTGAACCTAAAAGCTTTTAGTTTTTCTAAGTTACAGAATACGGGCCCCGTTCGATATAAACATTATTCACCCTGATTATTGACGAATAGTGTGTTACAGAAAATTTAATCTATATGATGATGTAATACATTTAATGTGGTAATTTGCATCAGCATGTGCTGTCTGATGTCATTTACATACATACGGCGGTTTGACGTCATTTAAATTCTAGGTAAATCCGTCCATTTAGTCCATTGTTTTTGTTCCAGCCGATGAACTTACTTGCCCAAATATTTTGTTTTAAAATTTGCAATTGAACAACACAAATCACTGTCAACTAATTGTTTACAATATAGTTAATTGTATCAGAATACTTTAATTTTTAATTTGAATATATGTAGGTGCTTTATGAAAAAAGATTATTTTTAGCTTTGCTATTTTTGAACATTGTTTGAGTTCTGTTTTATTTTGTTGCAGGAAAAGAATTCCTTTTTGAACTACAATGTATCCTGCATTCTTACATTACCTCCATATCAAAGACAAGGATATGGGCGCCTGCTGATCGATTTCAGTAAGTATTTTAGATATTTTTTTCTTATTACTACTTACAACTTGATTTTGTTTGAGTTTTGAATGGTTTGGTTTCAACCTTTTTTTCGTAATTCTCTAGTTTTAATAACATACTTTATTACAGTTGCGGGTTGGAAACTTTGGTATTACCTACGTTAATTTTTTTTCGAAATCAAAGTGCTACTTTGATTTCTCAAATAGGAAAGTCACTCAAAAATGTCAAAAAGGTGTTTGACAATGGTTACAAACGTGGCTTCCGTCTTTAAAGCATGAATATGAAAATTTTTGACCACTTCCTTAGTCTTTTTGTTCAATAATTTTAATGATCTTTTTTAGGACCTGAAAATAGAGACCTAGTTAGCTTTTGGTAGCCTTTGCAAATTTAATACTTCATAAAATAAACTGTTGTATGAATACGAGCGAAATACATAAACAGAACTTTTGAGGTTAATAGTTCTGAAAAAAAGGACGACGGTTATTAAAACAGCCATAACAACATTACTATGCGATCGTAAAATCTCATTAGGAAAATTTTTCCTCACGCAGGAAATAAATTCCCTTAATAATGCCCGTATATTGCGCAGAGGCGCCACCACAAGATTAATTCAAACGGTCGCAGTCGTACAAGTCTCCTTCCGATCTAATAATATTATAGATTTTCTTATCGAATCGTTTATTAATGTGATATACATAATATGATAATAGAAATAACGAAAAACTTGTAAAAATATGTTTTATGGTACAAATTTGAATGCTAACAACGTCCTCAACAAAACCCCTTTATTGTTAAAACACAAATAAACTTTAAGTGATTAAACGATGGTAAGTCTTTGTCTTAGAGAATTCTCTCACTGCATATTCTTCTTCTTCAAATACCATCTCCTAACGGAAGTTGGCTACCATCATGGCCATCAAATAAATAATCCATTTGATGTCATTTCATACCATTTTCTGAGGTTCTTCAACCAGGATGTCCTTCTGCCTCGACTACGTTTTCCTTGGATTTTTCCTTCCATAATATTCTGGAGTAATCTCTGTAAGTCTTGGTATTTAGGACCTCGTATAACATGTGCAAAATATTCTAATTTTTTCGTCTTAAGGGTTTTATGTATTTCTTCTTCCTTGTTCATACGGCGTAACAACTCGATATACTTTGAGGGCCCACGCTTCGGCACCACGCTTTATAAGAAAGGTCGAAAATACTTAGCATCGGAGCATTCTTGTTCTTAAATCTCTAAGTTTATATCTCTACTGCTACTCTATATCTCTAAGACATTTCTTTAGGTTTAAAAAGAATTTCTCAATCGTGAACTTTATTTCATTCTTAATTGTTCGGCAGTTTTATTTATTATCGTGCCCAAGTATTTGTAGTGTTGGACTTTTTCTATTTGCGTGCTGTCTATTGATATTGAAGTATTTACATTTTGGTTTTTTTGTGATCATGAATTTTGTTTTCTTCAAATTCATATTCAGCCCATATTGTTTGCAAGAGACATTTATTCTTTGAACTAGGTTCTGCAGATCTTCACTATTGTCTATCGTTACTGCTGCATCCTCAACATATCTGATATTGTTGATCCGTTGATTATTCACCTCATCTCTCTCTTCCAAAGTTTCTTGAAAGATGGCCCCCTATATATGTTGAAAAGGAGGAGAGACAAGATGCATCCTTGACACTTACCTCATTGTATATATTAACTTTATGCATGTTTTTAACAGGACACTGTCTCCTCAATGAACCCCCAGTAGATTGATGCTAAGAGCTCATCAGTGCGCAGAGACGAAAACCATGCGTTCCATAAACTTTGGTAAGACTGATATCGAAGATGGGGGACTAACCTCTGTAAAATCGTCTCAGATACTGGCTTTTATCAAAGCCCTGAGACTTCTAAGTTATAACTTAAGAAAGGGGGACAGAATAGATCTGTATGGTCTCGGTCATTAACTTCCCTCCTTCCATTCAGTCTATATCTACATCAACGGGTTTCCACAAACGTCTAAACTACCAGCACTTTAAATCACCCTGTATGCTGTCTAGAATAATTTTAAAAATAAATATTTTCTCTTAATGAAAAAGAATATTTCCAATAAAAAACATTGTAAAGACAGTTGGCGCCGGCCGCTCGGAAAAAAACCCAGTCAATATTTTTAACGTTGTCGAGACCCTTTTCAATGCAAATAAACTATTCAAATTAATATCAGTCATCGTTAGGGTTGGCGGCGGCACGACGACCACGTTTCGGAAATTCCTAATGAGGGGATGGCGTGACGCGTCTGGAAAGCTTTAAAAATGCATCGTTTTCCAGGTTTACCGTCGGCAAAATATCGGGCCGATCGACGACGAGGTATGAATAATCGGAAACGAGGGGTGGACTTTTTTCCTTATCCAGATTACTAATTGTTTTTAATAGGATTTAAATTGATAATCTATAGTCGTGCATCGGCCACCAAGTCTAAACATAAATTCTATTAATATCCTACGATCGAAAGAAAATTGCATTAAATTAAAATTGTATTAGTTTTAACTGTATAGTCTATAAAATGAATAACTTTGAATTTTGACCGTTATTTTTTACCAACATGGCAAATATAAAATCGCTCTGTCAAAAAAGTTACTGATATTCTTTAAATTGAATGCCTGAACGAATCAGATAGGTAACTCTTTTTACTTTCGTGAAATAGAAAAGGAAAATAATAAAACAGGTGACCGTTCTTCCTCTTCTTGCAAAAATCAACACAATTGTCAAAAGTAAAATGTCATCAGCTTTTGACATTTCTAAATATCAGACCAATGCCGTCTCTAATAGAACGAGATTTATGACGTCACGCTAGTTAGATACTACGGATTAATAAATATGTTGTAGAATACTTGTAGAATACATGTAAAACATAATAATTCCTCGTATTTTTGGTTTGTATATTAAAAATGATATAGTTTACATGAAATATACATAATATACAGTTAATAAATACAATATATATACCTATTTATAGTAATAAATACTTTGGCAAATAAACTATGAACCATACAAATGCAGCAAATGTTTTACAATATACAAATAATGAATAGATACATAAGATAATGGGTAAAATGTAAAATATATTTTAAATTTTGGGGTTTGAAAATCGATCTAATTTAACAAGAAACATTCAATATCTACTAATAGTGAAGTATTATTATTTGCATTCACAAAAACGTATATGTATATTTTGCAAGTATCAATGTTCGAAAAATTATATTTGCAAATAATACAATATCATAGAAAAAACAGCGTCAGAGATAGCTATGAAATAAAGATCGCTGTCATTTTAGGTTCGGGAAAAACGCTGATTAAGTTTTCATTTGTTTTTTCATTATTTCTTTTTGGCTTAAAAAAAAACGTTTCGGCTAACATCATAGCCTTCATCAGTGTTGTGTCATATGAAAAAAATAGTGTCGAATATAATCCAAAAAATTACATATAAAATATTCACACCACACAGCACATAATGTTTACTTCAATTAATAAACTAATATAAACTTGTTAAAAGATGACTACGTATTTTCTAAAATTATTATTCTTAACACTAAAACTATCTACATTGACTATGGAGTACGATTTCAGCCATAGTAATTAGTAGATATTGAATGTTATTTGTTAAATTAGATCGATTTTCAAACCCCAAAATTTAAAATATATTTTACATTTTACCCATTATCTTATGTACCTATTCATTATTTGTATATTGTAAAACATTTGCTGCATTTGTATGGTTCATAGTTTATTTGCTAAAGTTTTATTACTATAAATAAGTAGGTATATATATTGTATTTTTTAACTGTATATTATGTATATTTCATGTAAACTATATCATAAAATACAAACCAAAAATACGTGGAATTATTATATTTTCCATGTATTCTACAACATATTTATTAATCCGTAGTATTTAACTAGCGTGACGTCATAAATCTCGCTCCGAGGCTGTTCTATTAGAGATGGCATTGCGTCAACATGGCCGCAAGTTGCTAACCTAATAAAATTAACACTAGAAAAGCCCGCGGGACCTGTCAAATTCAAAGTTATTCGTTTCACAGACTATATCAAGTTAAGCGACTGTATTAAGAATTTGTATCGTATCGGAGTATAACTATGGACTGAAATTGATAACCCAAAAAAACTCATTTACCCTTAAAGTCATAAACGGCCCTACAATATTTTGAGAATATAAGTTTAATTATTACCGTTGCGAATTTCTGTTATAAAATTATATAACTTTTGTTTGGCCACGTGCGAGTCTATTTAAACAATGTATCTTCTAGACTTTAATACTTTTTTACCAAAGCAGTGTCGCCTACTGTTGAACAGAGATTTTAAGAATATCAAATTGTAAAATACGACTCTGGCTGTTTTGTAGTTTTAGATATGATTTAAGAAACCCAAAGATCTGCCAAAAGACAGTTCCGGTAAATAGTTCCTATAAGCAGTTACAATAATGTAGTGCAAATAATATAGCTCCTAAGGCAGTTTCTATTCACAGTTCTTTGTAGACAGTTTACAGTCGGCAGTTCTTATGTTTAATTTTCCATTTAACTATTCTTTATAACATTGAGAACCTAATTTTCAAAATGTTACTTTTATATATAAAACGAAGTTATCTCAATATCCAGAAGAAAGTGTGTAGAAATGTAAAGTAATAAATTTGATTATATAACATTGGTGGCAGCGGTGGGATAACATTGGTGGCAGCGGCGGGATAACAATTTGCTCTGGAAATGACTAGAGTTTCTAATCAAGAAGATTTAGTTTCTCGTGAAATTTCAACGTCTCGAGAACTCAAGAAGTCAATTCCATGCGCTAGGTCTAAATATAAAAAAGCCATTCACATAGCTAGACCTACACACAAAACCAGCTCTCAAATAACTAGAAATTTAATAAAAACTGAATTTCAGTTATTTGAGTCTACTGGGTAATGAACGCCTACTCTTGTAAATTTGCTATTGACTATTAATAGACAAAT